ATGTTGAGCACCAAAAGGGGGTGCTGAACATCATCGCGGGGTGCTGAGCATCACTGGAGGGTTCTGGGCATCACTGGGGCGTGCTGAGCATCACCAGAGGGTGCTGAGCATCACTGGGATGTGCTGAGCAACACCGGGGGGTCCTGAGCGTCACCTGAGGATGTTGAGCATCATCGGGGGGTGCTGAGCTTCGCTCTCGGGGGTCAGGATGTGACTCTGCAGCCTATCTGGGAGCCAGGAAGCACCTTTTGCTGGAGCCGGGATTCTCCCTTCCTGTGGGAGCACCGCGATCCGGGAGGAAACCCCGACGGAAGCCTGAGAGCTGCAGCAGTGCCGGCCGGACGAACAGACAGTCCCCGCATACCCATCATCTGCCTCCTGGTGTCCCCCGTCCCCATCATCTGCCTCCTGGTGTCCCCCGTCCCCATCATCTGCCTCCTGGTGTCCCCCGTCCCCATCATCTGCCTCCTGGTGTCCCCCGTCCCCATCATCTGCCTCCTGGTGTCCCCCGTCCCCATCATCTGCCTCCTGGTGTCCCCCGTCCCCATCATCTGCCTCCTGGTGTCCCCCGTCCCCATCATCTGCCTCCTGGTGTCCCCCCTCCCCATCATCTGCCTCCTGGTGTCCCCCGTCCCCATCATCTGCCTCCTGGTGTCCCCCCATCCCCATCATCTGCCTCCTGGTGTCCCCCCATCCCCATCATCTGCCTCCTGGTGTCCCCCGTCCCCATCATCTGCCTCCTGGTGTCCCCCCGTCCCCATCATCTGCCTCCTGGTGTCCCCCGTCCCCATCATCTGCCTCCTGGTGTCCCCCGTCCCCATCATCTGCCTCCTGGTGTCCCCCATCCCCATCATCTGCCTCCTGGTGTCCCCCGTCCCCATCATCTGCCTCCTGGTGTCCCCCCATCCCCATCCCTCTCATCCCAGCTGCAGCCATCAGTGGATGTCTTTGCTGCTCCCCAGGTCCGTGCTGCCACTCCAGGGGCTGGGAAGCAGCACCAGCCTCTGCCTTTGGCCTGGTTTTGATGAGGAGATGCTCAGCTGTGATCCTTTGGGTAGTTTTTAGATCATGAAGCCAAACTTTCCGGATTTCCCTCAGGATCCTGGAAAGCCAAGGACGCGCTGTTCCTGTGGAGCTGACACCTTCCCCTGGTCCCATTGCTCCCAGTGCTCTCCAGGTGCTGCAGGGCTCACATCAGCAGCTCAGAGCTGGTGCTGTGCCCATGTCTGCAGCACCGCAGCACTGGGAACACGTTCCATCAGGGAAACAGGTCCTGGGGTGTGGGAATGGGACCGACTTTGGACGCAGGGCAGTGGGATGGCGCTGCAGTCACAGCCCTGAATGTCCCTCCAACGCAAAACCACACAAGGCCAAGCAGATCCTGAAGCTGGATGATCTTAAGGTGCTTTCCACCCCAAACCATTCCATCATGGTAAGAACTGCGAGGGCACCATTGGCAGAACGAGTTCCTGTGCCCAGCAGCAGCAGGGAGGGCAATGGGAGACGCTTTCCAGGTGTCCCTGAGCTGTGCTAGGGGAGCTCATTCCTGAGCTCCTTCACACCACACCAGGCACGGCAAGAGCAGCATCTGACATGGAATGTGGCAGCTCCCTTGGGACCAACCAAATGTGAAACGGAGTTGGAGTGAGCTGGGAGGAGAGACACCACTGAGGGGAGAAGAGACAAAGATGTGCTTGGCCACGGGGCCCCTGCAGCCGTTGACACATGTAGTGTGGATGAGGAGCCCCACACAATGTCTATACATGCATGAGCCACAACACGCACACACAGCACCCCCAAGACAGGGATCATGGAATCCCAGACTTTGGAAAAGGAGCTTAAAGCTCCTCCAGCTCCAACCCCTGCCACGGGCAGGGACCCCTTCCACTGGAGCAGCTTGCTCCAAGCCCCTGTGTCCAACCTGGCCTTGAACACTGCCAGGGATGGGGCAGCCACAGCTTCTCTGGGCACCCTGGGCCAGCGCCTCAGCACCCTCCCAGGGAAGAGCTTCTGCCTAAGAGCTCAGCTCAGTCTCCCCTCGGGCAGGTTCAAGCCATTCCCCTTGGCCTGGCCCTACAGGTCCTTGTCCCAAGCCCCTCTCCAGCTTTCCTGCAGCCCCTTCAGGCACTGGAGCTGCTCTCAGGTCTCCCCTTCAGGAGCCTTCTCTTCTCCAGGCTGCCCCAGCCCAGCTCTCTCAGCCTGGCTCCAGAGCAGAGCTGCTCCAGCCCTTGCAGCATCTCCATGGCCTCCTCTGGCCTCTTCTGGACTCACCCCAGCCCCAGCGCAGTCCTGTGGAGGGGACCGATGCTTGTGTCCATGTAGAGATGAAGTTTATGGACACAACCCTGGATGACCACGGGCTGTGCTTGTCCCAGTGGACACTCATGCTCCAAAGAGATGCCTGGGCATGACACGACATGTGGAAGCTCCTCAGGCAGGTCAGGCTGTTGTGATCAGGCCGGAGGTTGAATGAGCACGTGAACAGATGTGCTCTGGCTCAGGGGGGTCCCGAACAGGGGCCCAGCCATGAGGCAGTTGGTTGTGGGGGACACGCTCTGAGGACCCCATCCGCAGGGAGCAGCAGCAGGGCTGCAGACAAGGGCTCAGCGCGCAGATCGGAGCTCTCTGCCTGCGCTCCCCTCTGCAAAGGGCAGAGCCCAGCAGTGGCAGCGGCAGTGTGGCGGGTGGGACGCAGCAGGAAGCTGTCCCGACAGGAGCACGGCCAGACGGAGGCAGAGCCCATCTGGTCCCTCAGCCTGGCAGCAGGAGGGTGGTGCAGAGCAGGCAGGGTCTGGGGAAGAGGCAGAGCCTGAGTCACGGGGCAGGGCTGGGAACCATGCAGAGGGAGCTGAGCAGGCCCTGGTGCTGACACACACCCGCAGGGAAGGAGCTCTGGTCATGGCCTCGGGAAGAGTCATTGAATCATGACTGGTTTGGGCTGGAAGGCCCCTTCCCGACCGTTGCATGACTGCCAGCAAACGCCTCTCAGCACAGAGACACCACTGCTGAGGCACTCGGTGTGCTCAGGGATGGCTCCCAGGAGAGGAATCGTAGAACCATGGAACCATGGAGTCAACCAGGCTGGAAAAGCCCTTCAAGCTCATCCAGTCCAACCGTTCCCAGCCCTGCCAAGGCCACCACTGACCCACAGCACTGAGGCCTCGTCTCCACGCTGTGTGAGCACTTGCAGGGACGGTTCCTGCAGCCCTGCCCTGGGCAGCCTGTTCCAATGCCTGAGCACCCTCTGGGGCAGGAATTGTTCCTCAGCTCCATCTAAACCTGCCCTGGGGCAGCTTGAGGCCGGTTCCTCTTGTCCCATCCCTTGTTCCTTGGGAGCAGAGCCCAGCCCCTCCTGGCTCCATCCTCCTGTCAGGCACTTGTAGGGAGCCATCAGGTCCCCCCTGAGCCTTCTCTTCTCCACACTGAACCCCCCAGGTCCCTCAGCCCTTCCCCATCACCCCTGTGCTCCAGGCCCTGCACCAGCTCCGTGCCCTTCTCTGGACCCCGCTCTCTGTGTGCTACAAGCCCCACCGCCTGGAGAGCTGGGTTCAGGGTGGGTCCCTGTCTGCAGAGTGCACCGTGGGCTGGTCCAGCACAAGGAGCCTGAAGCTCTGGATGAGGCCATGGCTGAGCACGTGGCTCCTCGGGCACAGGGACCCTGCTCCCAGCCAGGATGAGCCGTGGCAGCTCAGGGCCGGGTTGCTGAGAGCAAACCAGGCTCCTTCCAGCCCCTGCTCTTCTCTGACACCACCAAGGCACCCAGCATTTATCCCCCATCACCCTTCCATGTCCAACGCCCGGCAGTGCTCCTGGAGTGAGTGCAATCGCTGCAGCTGGGGTCTGCTTGGACCTGGATGCACCTTCCCCTGCACCGAGCCCTGCCTGGCCGCATCCTGCCCCTGCACTGAGTCCTCTGTGGCCGCCCGCAGAATAAGCTGGTATTTCCCAGGATTGCTCCTCTGTGCCACGTCCCATGGGCTGGATCCCCTGCTGCTCCCTTCACGGCCATCCCGGGGTGTCCGACAGAAAGCTGGTGGTCCAAGGAAGCTCTAAAACCGCACAAACGCAGGGTGAGGTTTGCATTTCCCAGCTCTGATGAGGGCAGAAGGAGCAGTTCTGTCTTCTCCTCGTGCTCGGGTGGTGGAGCACCTCTGAAATGTCACATCTCCCAGGCTGACAGAGGTGAGCCTGGGGCTCTGCCAGCAGCAGCCTCTGAGCCTGCTGTAAGGATATTCCATGTTTCCGGCAGCACAGGCTTTGTGAGCACCTGCATCCCGCTGAGCATCTGGGATGAGCCTGATCCAGGCTGGAGCAGACCGATGGCAGCGCCCAGCCCCTGCCTGTGACTCCCCAAACCCATGTCATGATCACATTGAGGCATCTCCTACGGCACCACATGGAATCATAGAACATGGAATGGTTTGGGTTGGAAGGGCCCTTAAAGCTCCTCCAGCTCCAGCCCCTGCCATGGGCAGGGACCCCTTCCACTGGAGCAGCTTGCTCCAAGCCCCTGTGTCCAACCTGGCCTTGAGCACTGCCAGGGATGGGGCAGCCACAGCTTCCCTGGGCCAGAGAAGAGCACGGCTCATCCAGGGCTTTCTGGATGCCCCCAGCTGCACCCTGGAGCTGCTTGAGGCATTTCATGTCCCCAGACCCAGTGCAGGATGCACTGTGGGTGCACAGCTCCCCCCCTGCTCCAGGCAGCATTCCCGGCCCTACCACCGAGCCTGGAAGTGGCCAGGAGGGTCCTTGCATGGCCTGGCCAGCTCGGGGCTGGGCTCATGGCCTGGGGAGGGTGGTTGGCAAAGGGCAGCTGGTTGGATGTAAGGAGGGGTCCTGTGCTGTGCGGGTGGCGAGGCTCTGGGGTGGGGTAGGGTGCCCAGTCTGTGCTTCCATCATTACACCGGGTCAGGGGCGATGAAGGACACAGACCAGGATGGCTTCAGGGACCTTTACTGTGGCCAGTGGCCGGGAGCAGGGTGCTGGGTGCAGTCCTGCAGGGGTGCCGGGTGCTGGGTGCTGGGTGCCAGTGTCGGCGCTGGTGCAGCTTTAGGCACTGCACTTGCAGACAAAAGGTTTCCTTTTGGTGCAGGAGTCGCTGAACCAGGGCTTGAGGTCTGGAAGGGAAGGTGGCCGTCACCCTGAGACACACGTGTGTGCAATGTGTGTGTGCACGTGTGTGTGTGCACACTTGTGAGTGTGCATGTGTGTGTACGTGTGTGTACGTGTGTGTGTATGTGTGTGTGTGCATGTGTGTGTGTGCGCATGTGTGTGTGTGCACACGTGTGTGCGCATGTGTGTGTGTACACGTGTGAGGGTGTGCATGTGTGTGTGTGCGCATGTGTGTGTGTGCACACGTGTGTGCGCATGTGTGTGTACACGTGTGAGGGTGTGCATGTGTGTGTGTATGTGTGTGTGTGCACACGTGTGTGTATGTGTGCATGTGTGTGTGCGCACACGTGTGTGCGCATGTGTGTGCACACGTGTGAGGGTGTGCGTGTGTGTGTGCATGTGTGTGCGCACACGTGTGAGGGGGTGTGTGCATGTGTGTGCGTGTGTGTGTGCACACGTGTGAGGGTATGCGTGTGTGTGTGTGCATGTGTGTGTGCACACGTGTGAGGGTATGCGTGTGTGTGTGCATGTGTGTGCGCACACGTGTGAGGGTGTGCGTGTGTGTGCATGTGTGTGTGCACACGTGTGAGGGTGTGCGTGTGTGCATGTGTGTGTGCACACGTGTGAGGGGGTGTGTGTGTGTGTGCATGTGTGTGTGCACACGTGTGTGTGCACTTGTGTCTGTGTATGTGTGTGTGTGTGCACGAGTGTGTGTGCACTTGTGTCTGTATGCACATGTTCATGTGTGTGCATGCAGTGTGCACATGTGTGCACATACATGTGCGTGTTTGATGCCACGCAGCATGTGTGTGCCTGTGCACGTGTTCATGTGTGTGCACACCCAGGTGCCAGCCGCCACCGTGCTGGCAGGAGCCAGGGGGACTGGGGACACGCATTGGCTCGGGATGCTGGTGACCAGGAATGGCAGTCACCATTGACAGTGGTGAGCAGTGGTGCCAGTGACCAGGGATGCTGATGGCCGGGGATGGGGGGGTGTGGGATGTCAGTGTCCATGTCCCCATGCCCCCATGTCCCCATATCCCCATATCCCCATGTCCCCATGTTCCTATGTCCCCATGTCCCCATGTTCCTATGTCCCCATGTCCCCATGTCCCCATGCCCCCATATCCCCATGTCCCCATGTCCCCATGTCCCCATATCCCCATGTCCCCATATCCCCATGTCCCCATGTCCCCATGTCCCCATATCCCCATGTCCCCATGTCCCCATATCCCCATGTCCCCATATCCCCATATCCCCATGTCCCCATATCCCCATATCCCCATGTCCCCATGTCCCCATGCCCCCATATCCCCATATCCCCATGTCCCCATATCCCCATATCCCCATGTCCCCATATCCCCATGTCCCCATGTCCCCATATCCCCGTGCCCCCATATCCCCATATCCCCGTGTCCCCGTGTCCCCATGTCCCCGTGTCCCCGGTGTGGCGCTCACCTCCCGTGCCCCGCAGCGCAGCGCAGGTTCTCTTCTCGGCGGTGGGTGCCTGGTGCCAGGAGCCGTAGTCCAGCTCGGAGCTGTCGGACCAGTGCCAGCGGTGGCTCTGCAAGGGGGGACGCCGTGACACCGGCGGTGACACCGGAGCATGGGGGGCCGGGTCCCGCACTCACCCCCTCTGGACGGTGCAGCCCGATCCAGAGGCCAGCGCTGCTGCTCTCCTCGTCGTCCTCGTCGCTGTCGCAGGGGCCGGAGCGCAGCATGGCGGCGATGGCGCGGTGCTCGCCGGAGCTGTGCACCGAGGCCAGGTGAGCCTCAGCCCCGAAGCGCCGGCAGAAGGCCTGTGGGGGGACGGGGGTGACGCCGGTGCCGGCCCCACCGCGGGACCTGACCCTGAGCCCCCATCACCGACGCCAGCCCCGGGCACCGGCACCAGTGCCTGGCCCCGACCCAGCCCCGGCTCCTCAAAGACTGCGCTAGACCCCCCGTCCTCATCCCAGACCCGACACGCTCCAACCCAGCCCCTGGTCCCCCCTTGCCTGCACGCAGCAGGAGAGGGGCAGAATGGGTGCTGCGGTGCCCACAGTGCCGCACAGGGCGGCCATAGGGCTGCTGTGGGGGAGAGTCCCCCAGTGGGAGCAGGGGCTGGGGACTGGGAATGGGAATTGGGGTCTGGGAATGGGACTGGGGGTTTGGTCAGGGGTTGGGTCTGGGACAGGGGTTGGGGAGCGGGGGCTGGGGTCTGGATGCAGAACTGGGGTCGCGGCCCAGACCACCCCCCCCTTTGGTCCCTCCAGGCCTCTCCTCTCCTCACCTCGGCCCGCGTCCAGCTGAGCTCCTCACAGAACACCCGGTAGCACCCGTCCTGGAAGGACACCCAGCCCCAGGCACAGGCGGCTGCGTCCTGCCCTGCAGGGGGGTCAGGCGGGGGGACACCCGCATCCCCAGTGTCCTCCCTGTGCCCCCCTGTGCATCCCATGTCCCACTGTCCTCCCCTTGTACCCTCATGTCCCCTCTGCCTCCTCATGTCCCCCCACCGTGTCCCTCTGTGTCCCCCCATGTACTCCTGCATTCCGTGTCCCCCCACATTCCCATCCCCCCATGTCCCCCTGTGCCCTCCATGTCCCCTGTGTGTCCCTGTGCTCACCGTGCAGCCGGGGCAGAAGCAGGAGGCAGCTCAGCAGCCCCAGTGTCCTGGTGGGGGCCATCAGTCCCTTCCCAGGGGGCACTGGGCAGGATGGGGGATGCTTAGCTCCGTGCTGAGCCCCCAGACCCCATGGCAGGGGCATGGGCACCCCCAGCCTGGCCGGGAGGAGGCCATGGGGTGCAGCTTCAGGGGTCAGGGTGCTCCAGCAGTGCACAGGGAGCAGCAGTGGGGTGCAGGGATGCAGGGTTATGGGGTGCAGGGTTGTGGGGTGCAAAGTGAAGAAGGGGTGCAGGGTTGAAGGGTTATGGGGTGCAAGGTACAGGATTGAGGAGTGCAGGAGAGTTGAAGGATTATGGGGAGAGACGCAGGAGAGATGCAGGATCAGTGGTTGCAGTGTTATGGGGTGCAGGAGTGCAGAGTGGGAGCTGCAGGACAGAGGGATTTGGGGCGCAGGGGTGCATGGTGTGAGGAACAGCACATGTGGTGAATGCAGGGAGCTAGGGTGCAGGGTGTGGAGCATGGGATGCATGGGTGCAGACTCATGCTGTGTGGTATAGGAGTCCTGGGATACAGGACAGAGGGTGCAGGGTGTTATGTGCAGGGGTGCAGGGTGCAGGGGTGCAAAGGTGCAGGGTGCAGTCATACAGGGGTGCAGGGGCCTGAAGAGTTGTGGCTGCAGAGTGGGGTTGCGGGGGCAGCAAGGATGCAGTGAGCAGGGGTGCAGGACAGGGGGATTTAGGGTGCAGCATGCAGGGGTGCAAGGAGGGAGCAATAGGGCATGTAGATGCAGGGAGCAGGGTTACAGGGATTTGGGGTGCAGGGGATTGGGGTGCAAGGGAGCAGGTTTTGGGGTGCAGGGGTGGGGTGCAGTGTCTCCAGCGGCCACCCCACGCCCAGAGCACCCTCAGGCAGAGCTGCAGCCCCAAGCCCCGGTGCCGCAGGGACTCACGTGTCGGTGCTCAGTGCTGCCGCAGCGCTGGCGGGACCTGAGCACCACCGGCTGCACTGGAGGGATTTATCCATGTTGGCCCGGGAGCCGCCCGTGTGTCACCCCAGGACCACAGTCACCCGGCCCCACAGCGTCACCCGGCCCCACAGCATCACCCCAACGCAACCGGGCCTGGCCCCACGGTGTCACCTGGCCCCAGTGCCGCAGCTCAGCCACGCGTGGCCCCGAAGCCTTTGATGGGAGCCAGCACAGGAGAGATGAAAGAGGCTCCATGGGCCCTGCGTGACGCGTGCGCTGCGTGTGCAGTGTGTGATGTGCTGCAGGTGCCACCTGTGCCACGTGTACCGCGTGTGATGCGTGTAACGTGTGACGTGTATGACGCATGTGCCACGTGCCATGGGAGCAACGTGAGCAGTGGATGCTGTGGGTGCTGTGGGTGCTGTGGGTGCTGTGTGTCCCCCACCACCAGTGCTGCTCCGGTGGCCTCTCACCTCATGCTGACTCCTGCACAGCTGGTGGGTGCTGCCGCTGCACTGATCACCAGTAGCAGGGATTCAGGGCACAGGGAGAAGCATCCAGAGCTCAGGGTGCTCCACTGGGAAGTGTGCTGTGCAAGGGATGTGCAATTTGTAGCCCTGGGATGAGGGCAGGGGATGCCCAGCTCCGTGCGGGATGAGGGCAGGGGATGCCCAGCTCCGTGCGGGATGAGGGCAGGGGATGCCCAGCTCCGTGCGGGATGAGGGCAGGGGATGCCCTGCTCCGTGCGGGATGAGGGCAGGGGATGCCCAGCTCCGTGCGGGATGAGGGCAGGGGAGCCCAGCTCCGTGCGGGATGAGGGCAGGGGATGCCCAGCTCCGTGCGGGATGAGGGCAGGGGATGCTCAGCTCCGTGCGGGATGAGGGCAGGGGAGCCCAGCTCCGTGCGGGATGAGGGCAGGGGAGCCCAGCTCCGTGCGGGATGAGGGCAGGGGAGCCCAGCTCCGTGCGGGATGAGGGCAGGGGATGCCCAGCTCCGTGCGGGATGAGGGCAGGGGATGCCCAGCTCCGTGCGGGATGAGGGCAGGGGAGCCCAGCTCCGTGCGGGATGAGGGCAGGGGATGCCCAGCTCCGTGCGGGATGAGGGCAGGGGATGCTCAGCTCCGTGCGGGATGAGGGCAGGGGAGCCCAGCTCCGTGCGGGATGAGGGCAGGGGAGCCCAGCTCCGTGCGGGATGAGGGCAGGGGAGCCCAGCTCCGTGCGGGATGAGGGCAGGGGATGCCCAGCTCCGTGCGGGATGAGGGCAGGGGATGCCCAGCTCCGTGCGGGATGAGGGCAGGGGAGCCCAGCTCCGTGCGGGATGAGGGCAGGGGAGCCCAGCTCCGTGCGGGATGAGGGCAGGGGATGCCCAGCTCCGTGCGGGATGAGGGCAGGGGATGCCCAGCTCCGTGCGGGATGAGGGCAGGGGATGCCCAGCTCCGTGCGGGATGAGGGCAGGGGATGCTCTGCAGGACAGTGCCCGCGGGTGCCCCCGGCCCCACTGCAGCCGCAACCCCTGGCCGCGGTGCCGGTTCCTGGGTGCCTCCGTGTCCCTGGCTCCGAACCCGGGGGTCCTGTGCCAGGTTCCCCCAGCGCTTCACGCCCCGAGATCAAACCTTGCACGGCCCGGAAAGGAACAGAACTTCCCCGCGGTGCCACGGGCTGGGGCTCAGCGCCTGCCGTGGGACTCAGCCCACAGCAATGGGGTTTGATACCCATCTATGGGATAGGCAGGCAGCCGTGGGGCTCAGCACTGTTTTGGCAGGCAGCGCGGGGCAGCGGCTGTAATGGAAAGCTACTGATGTGGAAGGAGCCGCCCTGGCTGGAGCCTGCGGCGCTTGACAGGGCCCAGGGACCGCGCAACGCTGATCACCAGATAGCGAGACAACGAGAACGCCGATAACGGTAACGGTGATAACGATAACGGCGGTAGAGATAACGGTGATAACGAGAACAATGATAGTGAGGACGAGCCGCCCTTCCAGGAAAGCAGAAGTGGGCAACGGCCGGTGCTGCTTCTCAGAGCCATGTCAGCCCCTGGCAGCCATGGAAAATGGAGATGGGGCGGCTGAGAGTGGGATGGAGGGAGCAGGGACGCAGAGGGGATACTGGGGTGCAGGGGTAGGTGTGGAGTGGGATGCTGGGGTGCAGAGGGGGATGCAGAGGGGATGCGGAGGGGGGATGCAGGGGGGATGCAGAGGAGGGATGCAGAGGAGATGCAGGGGAGTGAGTACCTGCCTTTGGGTCCTGGTTGTGTCAAGAGCCGACAACCACAACAGTCACAAACCAGCCTCAGCCCCGGCTGTGCTGAAGGGGGAGCATGGCCAGTGATGAGGGGAGAAGATGCTGGAGGTGATAAACACACCAGGACACCCCATTCTGGCTATGGTGATGGTCTTTGGCCCCTCTCCAGGCATGTCATGGCCTGGGCATCCCTGGGCCGGGTGCTGGAGCCGGGTGAGCTGCAGTGGTGCTGGGGGTCAGAACACTGCAGAATGTGTCTGTGTGTTCCCAAAACATGAGAGGATGAGGAGCAGCAGCATCAGCGCAGCCAAAGGGCAATTGTGCCGGGTGCCAGGAGGGACCACACAGTACATATGGGCTCCTACACCACATGTATGGGCTCCTACACAACATATGTGGGTTCCTACACATCACATATGGGCTTCTAAGCAACACATATGGGCTCCTGCACAGCAAATACAGACGCTACAAAGCATATGGGTGCCTACACAACATAAACAGGCTCCTACACAACATACAGGTGCCTAAACGACACATATGGGCTCCTACACAGCTCATATAGGCCCCTACCCAACATACACAGGCTCCTGTACATCACATACAGGCTCCTATACGGCATACATGGGCTCTTACACAACATACATGGATGCCCACATAATATGCACATGCTCCTATGCAACACATACAGCTGCCTATAGAACATCTATGGAACCATAAAACTACAGAACCAACCAGGCTGGGAAACAGCGTCAAGCTCATCCAGTCCAACCGTTCCCAGCACTGCCAAGGCCACCACTGCCCCACAGCACTGAGGCCTCGTCTCCACGCTGTGTGAACACTTGCAGGGACGGTGACTGCAGCCCTGCCCTGGGCAGCCTGTTCCAATGCCTGAGCACCCTCTGGGGCAGGAATTGTTCCTCAGCTCCATCTAAACCTGCCCTGGTGCAGCTTGAGGCCGTTTCCTCTTGTCCCATCCCTTGTTCCTTGGGAGCAGAGCCCAGCCCCTCCTGGCTCCATCCTCCTGTCAGGCACTTGTAGGCAGCCATCAGGTCCCCCTGAGCCTTCTCTTCTCCACACTGAACCCCCCAGGTCCCTCAGCCCTTCCCCATCACCCCTGTGCTCCAGGCCCTGCACCAGCCCCATTGCCCTGCTCTGGCCCTGCTCCAGCCCCTCAATGTCTCTCCTGAAGTGAGGGGCCCAGAGCTGAACATTCGGGGTGGAAAAGGTGGGACCATGTGAACATCATGGAGCTCAACAAGGCCAAGTGCAAGGTCCTGCCCCGGGGTCAGGGCAGGCCCCAGCACAAACACAGGCTGGGGGGGACAGGATGGAGCAGCCTGAGGAGAAGGACCTGGGGTGTTGAGTGAGGAGAAGCTCCCCATGACCCGGCTGCAGGGTGTGCTTGAGCCCAGAACCCCCCCCCCCGAGTGCTGGGCTGCACCCCCAGAGCGTGAGCAGCAGCTCAGGGAGGGGACCCGTGGTCACACGGAGCTTCTTTGCTGTCCCCTCTCTTGCCGGTGCACTGACTCCATGGTAATTCCCTTCCAACCTATCCCATGCCATGATCCACTCCTCAGGACACTGCGGTCCTACTGCTGCTGCCCCACAGGAGGTGTCACTGATGTCACTGGTGCCACTGGTCTAACTGGTGCCACTGGTCTCACTGATCTCACTGGTCTCACTGTTAACACTGATCTCACTGGTCTCACTGTTAACACTGGTCTCACTGGTCTCGCTGCTCTCACTGGTGTCACTGGTCACATTGGTGCCACTGGTCTCACTGATGTCACTGATATCACTGGTGCCACCGGTCTTACTGGTGTCACTGATATCACTGGTCTCACTGGTGTCACTGGTCTTACTGGTCTCATTGGTGTCACTGGTCTCACTGGTGCTGCTGGCGTCACTGGTCTCACTGGTGCTGCTGGTGTCACTGGTCTCATTGGTGTCACTGGTCTCACTGGTGCTGCTGGTGTCACTGGTCTCGCTGGTGTCACCAGAGCCGTTGCAGAGGCACTGCAATACCAGCCCCATTCCAGGAAAGCAGAAGTTGGGGGTTCCAGGAACGTGCCCCCGGATCAGCCATAAAAGCTCTGAGCACCGGGGCCGGATCAGCTCGGACACAGGGAGCGACCGAGGGACCAGCCTGGGCCCCGACACCCACTGACCGCCAGAGACACGTCGGAGCTGACTGGTGAGTGCCATGGGAGCCAGCACCCAAACAGCACCCATCCTACACCCAGCCGTGGGGTGCACAGCCCCACCCATCGTCCCGATGCCGTCCCATCCGCAGGCAGGATGCGCGCAGGGTCCTGGCTCCCTCCTCGCCTGCTCGGCTGCCTGCTCCTCGCTGCCTGCCTGGGAGGTGATTCCTGAGCCCAGCCCTGGGACACCGCTGGAATTCCTTGTGACCCCCCCGCGGGCAGCGCCCGATCCAACACCCCCCGAAACCCCCATCTCTTGCACCCCTGAACCCTGAAACCACAACACCCCCATCCCTGATCCCAAATCCCTCATCCCAGATCTCTGACACCTCTTCCCTGATCCCAGCTCCCCGATCATCTCCACTCCCTGCTTCTTAAACCCCAATTCCCAACCCCAATCCCTGTTCCCAGATCTCAGTTCCTACTCCCTGCTCCACAGTTCCCAGCCCCTGGTCCCCAGTCCCTGATCCCATCCTCATCTCCATCCCATGGGAGCCCAAGTCCCAGCCCTGCCCATGGAACCCCTCCCAGGGACTCCCCTGAGGGAAATGGGGGTGTCCCTGGATGGGGGGTCCCATGAAGGGGTGTCCCTGGGTTTAGGGAGCAGAGGGTGCTCTGGGTGCCCCCCCATCACTGTGTGCCCGGTGCATTGCAGGGTGCCTGGGTGCCCTGCCGGCCCCCGCCCCTGTGCAGGGGGGAGTCGCAGCCTCCTGCCCCCAGAACTGGCGCCTCTTCAGGGGCTATTGCTATGGGTTCTTCCAGGAGAAGCTGACGTGGGATGAGGCTGAGGTAGGTCCAGGGGGTCCGGGGGCAGGGGGGGGTCCGGGGGTGCTGGTGCTGGATGCTGACGTTCCCGTGCCCCCCAGGCTGAGTGTGAGCGCTACGGGCCCAAGGGGCACTTGGCCTCCATCCACAGCCAAGGCACCAGCCGTGTCCTGGCCGCGTACCTGGAGAGCCAGAGCCACGCCACAGACCACATCTGGATCGGGCTCCATGACGAGGAGCACGTGAGTGATGTGGGGCTGACCCGGGACACGGGGAGACCATGGGGACATGGGGGACACAGACCCAGCATGGGCACAGCCTGGGACACACGGACCCAGCATGGGCACAGCCTGGGACACATGGATCCAGCATGGGCACAGCCTGGGACACATGGATCCAGCATGGGCACAGCCTGGGACACACGGACCCAGCATGGGCACAGCCTGGGACACATGGACCCAGCATGGGCACAGCCTGGGACACATGGACCCAGCATGGGCACAGCCTGGGACACACGGACCCAGCATGGGCACAGCCTGGGACACATGGACCCAGCATGGGCACAGCCTGGGACACATGGATCCAGCATGGGCACAGCCTGGGACACACGGACCCAGCATGGGCACAGCCTGGGACACACGGACCCAGCATGGGCACAGCCTGGGACACACGGACCCAGCATGGGCACAGAGACACACGTGGGGACACGAACACACCATGAAACACATTGACACAGCATGGGCACCCAGACACACGTGGGGACACGGACACACCATGAAACACATTGACACAGCATGGGCACCCAGACCCAGTGCAGGGACGTGGACCCAACATGGGACACACAGACCCAGCATGGGCGCACAGACACAGCATGGGGACATGAACACACCATGGCACCCCCTGACCCCCATAAGACACACGGACCCCCCATGTGCCTCCAGTCCCGACAGTGGAAGTGGACGGATGACTCAGTCTACGACTTCAAAAAGTGGGACGTGGGACAACCCAACAACATGTGGGACAAGGAGGACTGTGTGGTGCTGTACCACCTCTCAGGTGAGCCACGAGGACAAGGGGACATGGGGGCATGGGACATGAGGGTGTGTGGTAACCCTGGGGGAGTCGGGGCGTCGGTGCTAAAGGGGTGACAGAGGTGATGGAGGTGGGGTGATGGAGATGAGATGACGTAGGTGGAAAATGGAGATGGGAATGATGGAGAAAGGGGTGACAGAGACGGGGCGATGGATGTAAAAGAGTGTGACGTGGGGTGCTGCTGGTGGAAGGGGGCTGCTGGCGGGTGCTGCTGGTGGAAGAGGGGTGCTCGGGTGTGCCAGTGGGGGCTGGTGGTCTAAGGGGTGTGCCGGTGGTGGGAGGGGAGTTCTGGTGGGTGCCTGTGGGTGCTGGTTGGTGCCGGCGGTGCCTCTGAAAACCCTTGCCCATGCCCAGGTTTCAAGCTGTGGCACGACTACCCCTGCGACAGGAAGTTCTCCTTCCTGTGCCAGAACCAGCTCTGAGGAGCTGCGCCCTGGGAAGGGGGGACCCTGCGAAGCTCTCCTGCCTGCACCCCGCAGTGTATCCCCAGCCCTGCATCCCCCTCGTGCACCTCCCCATGACCCCCCCAGTACCCCGGGCACCAATAAAGTTCGTCCCCAGCACCCAGCACCCGCCCGTTCTTCTCCCACCACACGGGTGGGCACCCGCCAGAACCACCTGTTTCCCATGGATGGGGGCAGCGGGGACAAAGGGGGGCTGTGGGAGCACCCCTGCCATGGGGGACTCCTGCTGCCACGGGGACGCCTCCTGGACACAGCAGAGAACACGCGGGGCCAGGCGTGCTCGGGGGGACTTTATTGTAGGGGAGGGACGTGGAGGTCCGGGGGTGGCGGGAGGTGACGGGGCTGATGGGGGGGGACAGGTCTCTGGGTGCCCCTCCTTAGGCCGCGTATTTGCAGATGAAGGGTTTCCTCTCGCTGCAGGACTCGATGTCCCAGGACATGAAACCTGCAGGAGAGGCACCAGCACTTAGGCCAGGCCCCGTAACTGCCCCCCAACCTCCCCCAGCTGCCCCACATCACCCCCAACCACCCTCCACCACCCCACATCCCCCTCCATCACCCGCATCCCCCCGCCCATCATCCCTGTCAGGCGCTCACCGGCCGCATCCTCCAGCGCGGCGCAGCGCGGCCCCGCGGCCCCGTCGTCCCCGTCCCAGGCCGAGTAGCGCCGCCGGGACCCATCCACCCAGGACCAGGCCTGGCCCTGGGCACCGCCACGGGTCAGCCACAGAGGCGGGGACGGGGACAGGGACAAGGACGGGACAGGGACAAGGATGGGCAGGGACAGGGACAAGGACGGGGACAGGGACAAGGACGGGGACAGGGACAAGGACGGGGACAGGGACAAGGACGGGACAGGGACAAGGATGGGCAGGGACAAGGATGGGGACAGGGACAAGGACGGGACAGGGACAGGGATGGGCAGGGACAGGGACAAGGATGGGGACAGGGACAAGGATGGGACAGGGACAAGGATGGGCAGGGACAGGGACAAGGACGGGACAGGGACAAGGACGGGACAGGGACAAGAATGGGCAGGGACGGGGACAGGGACAGGGACAAGGACGGGGACAGGGACGGGGACAGGGACAGGGACAAGGACGGGGACAGGGACGGGGACGGGGACAGGGACAAGGACGGGGACAGGGACAAGGACGGGGACAGGGACAAGGATGGGCAGGGACAGGGACAAGGACGGGGACAGGGATAAGGATGGGCAGGGACAGGGACAAGGATGGGCAGGGACGGGGACAGGGACAGGGACAAGGACGGGGACAGGGATAAGGACGGGGACAGAGACAAGGATGGGCAGGGACAGGGACAAGGATGGGGACAGGGACAAGGATGGGCAGGGACAGGGACAAGGACGGGGACAGGGACAAGGACGGGGACAGAGACAAGGATGGGCAGGGACAGGGACAAGGATGGGGACAGGGACAAGGATGGGCAGGGACAGGGACAAGGACGGGGACAGGGACAAGGACGGGGACAGAGACAAGGATGGGCAGGGACAGGGACAAGGATGGGGACAGGGACAAGGATGGGCAGGGACAGGGACAAGGATGGGGACAGGGACAAGGATGGGCAGGGACAGGGACAAGGACGGGGACAGGGACAAGGACGGGGACAGGGACAGGGACAAGGATGGGCAGGGACAGGGACAAGGACGGGGACAGGGACAAGGATGGGCAGGGACAGGGACAAGGACGGGGACAGGGACAGGGACAAGGATGGGCAGGGACAGGGACAAGGACGGGGACAGAGACAAGGACGGGCAGGGACAGGGACAAGGACGGGGACAGAGACAAGGATGGGCAGGGACAGGGACAAGGACGGGGACAGGGACAAGGATGGGCAGGGACAGGGACAAGGACGGGGACAGGGACAGGGACAAGGATGGGCAGGGACAGGGACAAGGACGGGGACAGAGACAAGGACGGGCAGGGACAGGGACAAGGACGGGGACAGAGACAAGGATGGGCAGGGACAGGGACAAGCAAGGAGGGGAAAGGGATGGGGACAGGGACAGGGACAAGGACGGGCAGGGACAGGGATAAGGACGGGGACAGAGACAAGGACGGGCAGGGACAGGGACAAGGACGGGGACAGAGACAAGGATGGGCAGGGACAGGGACAAGCAAGGAGGGGAAAGGGATGGGGACAGGGACAGGGACAAGGACGGGCAGGGACAGGGATAAGGACGGGGACAGAGACAAGGACGGGCAGGGACAGGGACAAGGACGGGGACAGAGACAAGGATGGGCAGGGACAGGGACAAGCAAGGAGGGGAAAGGGATGGGGACAGGGACAGGGACAAGGACGGGCAGGGACAGGGACAAGGATGGGCAGGGACAGGGACAAGGACGGGGACAGGGACAGGGACAAGGATGGGCAGGGACAGGGACAAGGACGGGGACAGAGACAAGGATGGGCAGGGACAGGGACAAGGACGGGGACAGAGACAAGGATGGGCAGGGACAGGGACAAGCAAGGAGGGGAAAGGGATGGGGACAGGGACAGGGACAAGGACGGGCAGGGACAGGGACAAGGACGGGGACAGGGACAAGGATGGGCAGGGACAGGGGCAAGCAGGGAGGGGAAAGGGACGGGGACAGGGACAGGAAGGGACAGGGACAGGGACGGGAGCCGCAAGGATGGGGATGGGAACAGGGGCGGGAAG